GGCGCGATATGGTTCATGGGGTCACGAAGAGTCGGACACGACTTAACAACTGAACAACAACAACATGGTCTATAGAAATTGAACATAACTGGGAGATATCATTTTGCTGAAAGGCGGTTTACTGTAGTTGAGAACAAACACAGCATTCCTAGACAGATGAATCTTTTAAGCATGAATACTCACACAATTGTCCATTGTGGATCTGAGGAGGCATTGTGTTGGCCACAATGACATTTGTTCCCAAATTCTCTTGAATAAGGTGGGGATGCAGAGGATGATGATGAGCATGAGGCGTGTCGCTTGATGACCCTAAAATGATTAATAGGAATCTAAGTATTGTACAATATTCAGTGCAGGAAATTATATTCCATTCTAATCTTTGAAATGATCTCAGTGTCAATAACCATTTTGAGGACAGGGAATATATCAGGTTTTACATCCTGACTTCCCAGGCTAGACTTAAATTATTCTGTTGATTAATAGTGGAAGCATGGGCGTGTGAAGCCCAAATCACAAATGCATTTTGGAAGGATCCAAATTCATTAATCCTGGCTAATCAAATACTAGTGCCTGTATTCCATTTTACTCAATCAATTATATCTTGGTGGAAAAAAGATATACAATAGTTTATGTTTACAGCATGCAATCTAAGTATGTATCCTGGGCAACTTAGAATTTGATGGAAAACTGGGCTACAGCTTCTGTGTATATCTGGAAAAGAATAAGAGATATGCAGTTCTCCCCTACAATTAGCTGTGACCCACAATTTCTCTGCTTCAAGTAATATCCTCCCTTAGCTGTTCTTCAGCTGCTTTGTAGAGGCTGAAGACACTCATTTTACCAAATTCTTTGCTGTAAAGAACCTGACACTACCTCACAGTGTGTAATTCCAATACATCTGGAAGGTGCCAGTTGAGCAAAGTTTGGTCTGGACTCTAGTATGTCCTTGGCTGAGCTACAGGCACAGGTTCCCTGTTATTAATGAAGCTGGGCAAGCCAAAATGTTCATTGTCTGACAGAGAGTCTGAAGTCTGTTGAGTAAGTATCTCTCAATGTGTCATCTTTTCAAGCAGGCAACTGAAACTGTGGGAACAGTATGAAAAAAGTATTCCTTCTCATAAAATAATAATCTTTTTACTGTACACCAATTGCAAAGTATGGCCACTAAATAAAAACAAAGGACTAACTGAAATCTTGCTTTGGGAGGAAGATCAGAGTCTCAAGAAATTTTATGTTTCTTTTTCCTCCAACTGAAGTGAGGCTCATAGTACGTTCTGCACTTGTTTTTCATTCTAGGGGCAAGAGTCCTGATGCCCAATGGCAGGAAAGTTTCTGCGACAATATTCACCTCCAAGCAGCATCTCTTGCAACAAGTTGTCAATTTTGGCCATGCCAAACAGCTTAACAAATTGGATTTGCTCAATCATCTGCCATGTGATGCTCTGGAGGGTGGGCAAGAGAAGCAACAGCTCTCCAAAGCGTCCTCGTGAGTCATACTGTCGGTCATTGATGTAGTCCTCCAGGCTGACCTGGACTTGATATCGCATCCGTTTGATCTTGATTGGGTCACTTAGGCCTTTAGCATCTGGAATAAAAGGTGAGATATTATATATTATGCCAATTTTCAAGGACAGATGTATTGAAAAGAGTGAGTGGTACTGTTGCAGGTGATTTGGGGTAGCTTCTTGTAGAATGTTGTTCTTTAAAAGGAAAGTTACTAGCTAGTGAGCTATGTCACTGATCCATCTAGCCCAGTATTGCTGACCCTGATTGGAACCAGCAATCCAAAGTTTCTGGCAGGAGTTTCCCTTGCACACTTGGTGCTGAAAGGGATTGAGTCTGGGACTTCTACATGCATTTTGCCACTGAGCTAGATACTGAAAAGGCTGTGTCTGCATTATTCCCATTATTTTGCCTTTGTGCATGTTTGCATGAGCCCAGATTACATAAGGTGGGGGTGGGGAACTGTGGCACCTCACATGGCCTTTGTCTCCAATGGCCATCAGCTCCAACTGGGCACAGACAATTGTGAGAAGTGAGGGAGCTGGACCCCAATGAGTTCGCCTTCCCAGGTATAAAGGCAGATATAAATTAATACAGGGTCACTATAGTTTATGAAACAACTTTCATGAACAACTCTGGATTATGAAACAGCACCACCAAACACAACACTGAAGACATGATTCTTGGATCTTCTATAACACCCTGATCATATGACTGTGCTGGGGACGGGATAAAATCTGCATCAACTATGAAATATGTTTTCCTTTGCACCTGTCATTTCTTTTTAATTTATTGGGGGCTGGCAGAATGGAACCTATGCAGCATAGGTTGATTAAGTTTGGATGAAGCTGTAAAACAGGATTACTGCCTCAGTAGAGATTTTATTTGGAATTGCAATCTTTTTTTCTCTCTCTCACAGAGCATCCTGGCATCAGTATGCCAGTTCAGTGTTCTCTATATTTCCTCCCACATTTTTCCAGACCTGATCTGTGGCAATTAAAAAGAAATAGTATGCAAGTGTGCAGTGTGATTAATACAAGGTGCTACTGAGGCTTATTACTTGTTACTGATCATAGACAGGGAAGTCAGCAATGAAATGCCTATTAACTGTCCTTTCAATAGACTTCTTGATTGTCTCTATCTGAGTTTCTATTCCTGTGGAAGGTGAGAGACTTTAATTACAGGTAGTCTTCGCTTACTGACCACTTGTTCAGCGACCATTCAAAGTTACGATGGTGCTGAAAAAGGAGACTTGCAACCGGTTGTTGAAGTTGCGGCCATCACAGCATCCCCATGGTCACGTGATCACCCTTTGCAACCTTCATAGCTGGTTTCCAACAAAGCCAATGGGGAAGCCAACAGGAAGTGGCAAGTCATGGTCATGTGACATCACACTAAATGACCCGCGGTGATCTGCTTAACAATCACAGCCAGAACTGACAAATTAACATTGTAAGTCGGGCGTGGTCATGTGACATTTCCCTTTATGACCACGTCGCTTAGCAACGCAGTTGTTGGTCCCAAATGCAGTCGGCAAGTGAGGACTACCTATACTATACTGTTTTCTTCTCACAGTTACTGTTATTTATTATACTGCAGGAGTGCTACTTGGCTATAATGAAAGGAAACAACTGAAAGGAAAGCCCTCACTGGTGAAGCCAGAAACTGATGCTAAGACAATTAAAATGCTTTATTCAAAGACCACATAATAAGCTTTTTGTTGCTGAACTCCCAGGTTGCTGTTGGGAAAATACTTCCTGAATTATCCTTACTTATGAATGTTCATTATAACACAATCTTGCCCAACCTGAGGGCCTTCATCCTTGGGCAGGAACTTCAGTTCCCTCGCTCTCATGCCCAGTATGACCAAACCAATGTGTAAAGGCTTATAGGAACTGAAATCCAACAAACCTGGAGGGCCCCAGATTGGTCAGATTGATCTAGAACAGCAGTTCTCAAACATTTTGGTCTCAGGATCTCTGTACATTCTTAAAAATGAATAAGGACCCCACAGAGCTTTGGTTTATGTGGGTTATTCTCACTGATATTTACTGTATTAGAAAGTAAAACTGAGAATTTTAAAAATATTTATTTATTTGACTTCACGGACCCCATGAAGTGGTCTCGGGGACCACACTTTGAGAACCACTGAACTAGAAGAACTTTGACCATGGAGAAGAGTATTGCTGAATAAAATAGCACAATAGCATTAATGATTTGAAGCTATTAATTCCTCAGTAGTGCTACGCGACTACAGTTTTAAAGGAAGTATCCTTAGATTCCTTTTCTAATTACTCAAAAATAATCATCTACCTGGATCAAAGAAGATAATGGCTTTCAGACAAGCATATTCATTATCATCAATCTGCAGTTCTTGAAACGTTAACACCAGCTCATCTAGAATTCGCACAGCTACGCGGCTGATTTCCAGCAATTCTGGGCAGTTTCGGGGGATTATGTGGTCATTTCCTGCAGGAAAATGGGGGTTAATTCAATCAAATTTCTTCATTCTTTGGCTTACAGAACATTCATTATATAATTTGCTGTCCATCAATATAACAACTGATCTTTTTTCTTTCCACCTAAAAATCAGTGCCAGTTCGATGTTTTAAGATAATGGAAATATTTTCTTATTCTTATGCTAGCTATTTAAAATCAAAAAACCAACCACACAAACAAGCGATCAATTCCTCTCTAACAAAACCACTGTAATTAGATAAGTGTAGCAAATTACATTTTTTATATTACTAATAAGGTCCTTGTGGTAGAACTCTTCTGTTGAAATGTCAGTATCGTAAACTAGAGCTTAAGGATATTTGTGTTATGTTATTTGTTACACATCAAACTTTTCTGGTCAATAAATGGCTCTCCTGAAGAAAATGGTTTTTCAAGTTCTTAATTCTACCACGAAACCATTTTTAAATGCTGAAGCTCTGAGATAAGACAGCTCCTAGTTGCATATTAGCAATCTAAAGAAATTGTTCAATTAATCCGCCTTCTCATTAGAAGAAATACCAGGAAAAACCAAAAGGATTAAAAGCTAAAGACAACATTGTCTGGATCTCCTATCACAATGAGGAAGACCAGTTGCATACAAATAGATGTCAAGCTGGAAAGAGAGCATAGGCTGTTGTTTTTAAAGAGCAGAGGACAGAGAAGAGGAATCAACATCACACAGAGATAGCCTTCTTTCACTTCTGTAAACAAGCAGATCTCTTGCTTCAGAAACTGTAAAGTCAGAGATGACAGCAGGACAAGGGAACAGGAAGTAATATCTCTCTCAATGCACATTTTATTCTCTTAAAATCATTGCCTGCCTCTAACCTCATTAAAACAGATAACTGAAAGCAAACAGATGATGAAAGGTACAACCCTGTAGACCAGTGTTTCCCAACCTCAGCAACTCCAAGAGATTGGACTTCAACTCCAGCTGGCTGGGGAATTCTGGGAGTTGAAGTCCACAAATCCTGAAGTTGCTGAGGTTGGGAAACACTGCTATAGACACTTACTAGATATAATTCCCTTTTAGCAAGTGGGACATTTCCAAGTAAACATACAGGATTGCACTCCAAGAAGTCTGACAAATGCCAGCCCGTTTTGTTTTTTAAAACCCACCACATTGAAAAATCTGCTGAACATTTAACGGGAGAAGCATCCTGGTAAATGAAGCTCTTTACCTAGTAGAAGGATGTCTTTGAACACCATCGATCGTTTGGCTGCCCCCAGTAAGAGATGTTCCCCTGCATGTGCCCGTAGCAAAGCCACCTGCAGGAACAAAGTTCTATTGTTATTAGCTGATAGAGGAAGACATAGCGGGCACAGCAAAGAGCTAAGGGGTGCCCACCAAGGAGGAGCAGAGAAAAGCATCTCCCCTTTGAGGACCATGTTATTGGAGAGCACAGTATGAGCTGAGCCCTTGTAATCATGACCCCCCAAAGCAATTGTGTTTCTGCCAGGTGGCACATTTTGGGGAGGAATATGAAGATCTTTCTTATTTATTCAGAGCATGCATGCTTCCAAGGTTCAGCTGGCTGGAGTGAGGGAAAAGAGTGACCACATTTAAAAAAAAAAATCTAAAAATAGTTTCTTGAGAGCTAAATGACCAGTTAATAACATATTTTGAAAAGTAAAACTATATGAAAATTACATAAGGCAGCAAAATATATTTAAGTCACAACTTACATGATAAAAATCAGAAATAGGAATACAAGTAACAATAAAATAGCAACAAAGCACTAATGTTCTAAAATTCCAAAATGGCTCTTTAAATGTCTGGAGCCCAAACTATCATCATATAAGTGCCAAGCAAAACTCTCTGGGGAGGGCATTTCAGAGATGGGGCACCACAACCAGAAAGGCCCTTTCTCTAATAGCCACTGGCTTTGCCTCATAGGATAGAGGTCCCTGGTGGGAATGATAGAGTCCTGGTCAATGAAAATAAGTGGATATGCTCCTTCAGGTACTAAAGCTGTTACAGTTTATGAATTAATACCAGCACTTTGAACTGGAGTGGAAGTAGACTGATAGCCAGGGCAGATGGCAAAGTAATCACGCAACATAGATAGAAATCCTAGAATGTAGAACCTTGGAAATCATCTAGTCCAACTACCGGTCCATTGTTTACATCCCAGCCTTTGTTTAAACACCTCCAGAGGTGAAGAGTCCACTAACTCTTGGTGCAATTGGTTCCATTGTTGAACAGCTCTTACCAACAGGAATTAATTCCTGATATCTCAGCAGTCCCAGTAAGGGACAATAAGTAAGACTGCCTTCTACCTGAAGCCTCTGCATCATTTTAAAGACAGTCCCACTTATAATATATTGCAGTAGTCTGTATGGGAAATTATCAAAGAGTAAATAACTATTGCAAAGCTGTATTTACCAGCTGTGAGAACCAGTTTGGTGTAGTGGGTAAGGCATCAGGCTAGAAACCAGGAGACAGGGAGTTCTAGTCCCACCTTAAGCACAAAGCCAACTGGGTGACCTTGGGCCAGTCACTCTCTCTCAGCCCTAGGAAGGAGGCAATGGCAAACGCCTTCTGAAAATCTTGCCAAGAAAACTGCAGGGACTTGTCCAGGCCATCTCCAGGGGTCAACATTGACTTGAAGGCACATCATCATCATCATCATCCAGCTACTTGGCCTTCAGTGACAATGTCAGATCCAGTGCTGCTGAGTGCCATATTTTCCCTGAACAGTGAATTCTCCAAGCACTGTTGGCCAAGGTATTAGGTGGATGCACTGTTCCTAGTTAAGGATGCATTGTGCCTAGTTAATAAGCAAGTAAAAGTACACTGGTCCCCATATTTGGCTGCTTGTAACCAATCATAGGATCATAGGGAGGACCTTTTAGCTCTTTTAGTGTAATCCCTTACACAGGGCAAGAATCCTCAGACTGTCCCAGACAAATGGCTGTTCAAACTTCGCTTGAAAAGCTCCAGTGAGGGAGCATCTATAACTTCAGGAGGCAGGCTGGTACATTGCTTAATAGATCTCACTGTCCTCCTTATTTAGATTTTTGGTCTCTCTCTGTAAAGCTTCCACCCATTGGTTCTTGCCCTACCTTTAAGCACTATGAACAATCTACACCACTTCCTTATGACAATCCTGTATTGGAAGACTGCTATCATGTTTCCCTTTTTCTGGTTTTCTTTTAATCTTCATAGGATTTAGCCTCCAAGCTCCTCATCATCTTCGTTGCTCTTTGCACTCTTTCTAGTTCCTCAGCATCCTTCTTCTACTGTGGTGACCAAAACTGGAGACCCAGTATTTCAGGTGTGGTCTGACCAGTGCAGCAGTGAGTACTTACTCACATACAGACCTATTAGGAAATTTTTAACATTTCTGCCCTGATACAATTAATTTTTCTGGTGACTTTGAAATTTTTTCTATAGTGAGGGACAGGCAGGTTTTTTTTAAAAAAAATCCTGCTTGGTCTGTTGTTAATGATTGCATTGTGTCACTTTATACCCTTCAATGATCCTCAAGAATGTTCTGAATCTCCTGCCTCACATCTATTTTAAAAAAAAGTCTTTAGAAACAAAGGTTAACACCAAGATGCAGTATGACATGGATGCTTTTTAATGTCCGACTGGGACTTCAGCTTTTCAGCAAACAGTCTCTAAACATTAACTGGAGGATTTGAGAAAGATTGTCTTTATGGGGATGGGCCAATGTGTAAGCACTGAACAAACATGGAGAAATATCATGTAACGAAATCGCTGAAGAGAGTGCTATTTTCCAGAGGCTTCAGTTTTAGATTTGAGACAAAGTAGAGTATGGTGGATTTGTCTGATTCTAGTATCCTAATACTAAATGAATCTTAGAAAAATAAGGGACTGAGTAAGCGACTCTGTAACAAAAATAGTAGCAAGGAAAAGTGCAAACGTTCCATTATACATGAATTGGTCAAATATGTAGGGATCTATGTGGGAGTTTTTACAATATAATTGCTGCTATGGAATTCAGATATGTGACAATCGCCCAACCATAAAGACAGAGCCATGGAGAGTGGAGCCAGGAAAGAATGTACTGCACCAAGAATCTCCAGAACAGTCAGAAGATGAACCTCAGTATCCCCTCAACCAGGAAACACTACTAAAATGCTTGTCCTATTATTATTTTTTTATTTTGGAGGGACAGCATTTTTAAGATGAACAATTTTGGGATTTTAATGATTTTAAAAGAGGAAAATGTACAGGAGAATTCAAACAACCTTTGTTTCCACCCCCTTGGAATGTACAAGAAGAGTACCTGGAAGATACTGTTAACCCTTTTGGCCAAAGGGCAAACTTTTTGAGGGGCGGGGGGAGAAATGCAGGGTTTGCATTTGTAAAAAAGAAAAGAATTATTCTGGCATCCAAAGCTTATATCGTGATGTCACCAAGTAGGCAGAACTGAATTTTTAAAATAGGTTTTGGAAGGAGAGGTCAAAATACTGCACTACCAAAAATTGCCCATGATCCAAGATGCTCTCAGGGCTGCAAAATATGGACTAGCGGTAACAAATAGCCTGCGAGCCATAAATTGTCTACCCCTAGGATAAAGGAAGGAAAGCACACATAGCTTTGCTCAGTTAGCCTCAATGAACATATGTCCATTCGTAGCACCAGTGCCTAAGGATGCCCATGCCCTTTTATGAAACCCAGAATCATATCTAAAAATAGGTCCATTCTGAAAGTCCATAAACCCCTAGCCTAGTCTGATATACCTCTGACCAAAGGTGTCACTGGGATCAAGGAAGCCTACTCAATTAAGAGTGCAGAGGACAACCACCATAAGAATGTAACTGTTCAACTAAATGTCACTAAATTCAAAGCATTTATATGTTGGGGGAATATATTGTTGTTGTTGTTGTTGCTGCTGCTGTTGTTATTATTGCTAACCAATTCAGCATTAGTGTGTATCAGCAAACCACAGTGGGAAGACAATGCCTGCTGGCCAGATGGGTAGCTCAAAAGGATTACAATGCAATAATTTTCAAAATGGATTATGGAAGCAAAAGTTTAACTAGAAGTAAGAGTCCAAAAAAGTGGCTCACCTGATCATCCAGGGGAAGCTCACAGAAGGCTGGGATGTATTTGGCCCATTCCACAAGCACTAATAACTGCTGCTTCATGGACTCACACACATCTGCAATATTTGCAATTTTTTTCCCTCTGATATCTCCGCTAATCCCTGAAATTGGTGATGATATCTGCAAAACAAGAAGAGAAGTTCCATCTAACATTATTCATAGAAAAATGAAAGGAAGCCATGCTTAGTGTGAACCCTCAAAATCTTTTTGAAGGCAGCACAAATCTATTCCCCCCTAAACAATTAAACAAGCATAAATAGCAATCCTGGGTGAGTGGCTTGGATTGGTGAGAAAGCAGTTTTTAACAGTATGTACTCTTACTACCAAGACTTCTTTTAACATTTAATGCAGTAAATTCATAGCTCTAGATCATTTGGTTACAACTATGCACAATCTAAGCATCTTCCCTTAAGTTTACAGTCCTAGTGCATTTTTTTCAGTTTGCAAAGGAACAGTATTTTGTACCCAAAGAATAACTGATAGTACATTTATCATTGTGGTGTAAAATGTGGTTGCAATGGCATTATGACATAATTAACAACAGATCTAGGGCTTTTCCTTATGGCCATGTTAATGAGCATTCCTCCAATTCTAGATTCTGCAGAAGAGTATGCTGGCATAAATTACTCTGCCCTAGCTGCAGTGTCCTGAGTAACAAAGCCATCTGGAACAAATTAAGGACAGCTATTATTGGATTCTGTCAGCTGAATTCCTTCTCCCACCTGATGTCATGTTCTGGCAGGAAAGGCAACCTTAATTGTTCTCCTTAAAGTGTTGTGGTATGGGGTTAGAACATACAACAACTAGCCTTAGAATTGACAATGAAGATATTGAAGTGGTAGATAGCTTCTGCCTTTTAAGGATCGACCATCAACAATAAAGGAACAAGCAATCAAGAAATATGCCACAGACTAGCACTTAGTAGAACAGCCATGAACACCTTGATCAGATCCTGTGATCTGTCAATATTACAAAGATCAGAATTGTTCAGGCAATGGTATTCCCTGTGACACTCTATGGAAATAAAAGTTGGACTTTGAAGAACCAGATAGAAAGAATATTGACACTTTTGAAATTTGATGTTGGAGAAAATGACCAGGCTCAAATTATCCTACTTTGGACACATTATGTGAAGACCTGGTTCTCTGGAGAAGACTCTAATGCTGGGAAAGGTGCAAGGAAAGAGAAGAGAACAGCCAGCAGCAGGGTAGATGGATTCAGTTACAGTGGTGATGGGCACATCTTTGGAGGATCTGAAGGACCAGATTTGGGACAGGTTTTCATGGATAAAATCTATCTCTGTGGTTGCTAAGAGTTGACACCAACTTGATGGCATATAATCATTCAGTCTATAGGGGTTAGGCATTTGAACAGAAGCCTAAAATGGAGAGTTTGGCCTCCTTTCATGTTCCCTGAGTGACAAGTTGCAGGTGCAAAGTCACTCCACATCTCCAGCCTGTTACTTAGGCTAGGTTTGAACACAGATCTAGTGCTCTTTCAGAAGATTTCTAAACCCGGGTCCAAAATTACCCTAGCTGACAAGTTGGTGGCATGGAGGAGGGGATGGCAGAAGCAGAACTGTTAGGAGATATCTCTGTTGCTTCTCCCTGAGACCCATTTCTGTTCCTGTGAGCTAACAGTTGGGTTAACAGGTAGGAGGAGGAGTATGGGGTAAAGTGGTAGCAAGTGGCCATGGCCAGCAGTACCTGGAAGTAACCCTTTGAATAGCCAAAATGGTGTAGAAATAGAAAAAATGGTATTGTAAAGAACCTCTGTTTGGATGTATCTGTTTAAAACTGTATATGTATAGTTTGTTAAACAAAAAACACTATATATATTAGAAATTATCAGAAATTATCTATCTAAAAGCACTGCAACAATGAACATCACTGTAAGTTAGAGAAAAGCAGTATGTGTGTGTCTGGAAAGTTCCTGATCTTTCTCCTCTCCTCTAACACTCTTCTCAAAAATAATACTGTGTAAGTAAAAATTATGGGCCCATGAAATCCCTTATTCGAAAGCTTGCACTACATTCATTGATGACAGAAACCAGGTGGCAGACCTGACTCTCTTTCCTGTTTAAATCAACTTCCTATACAGCACAGAACAAATATTCTCCCAAGGCAGAGCTCTATTCCTGCTTTTTACAAGCAGATCTTGTGCTCTTCCAAAGTGTTCTTTCCAAAGCACTCATCAGGCACTATGCAGTCAGCTACCTCCATAGAACCAGGTGTCTGGTCTCTCCTGCAGCTCAAGACAAAATGGCCATGGAGGGAAATGCCCAGTGATTGGAGGGGAGGGGACATACCTCCAGAGCCTAAAGCAGCCAATAGGAGCTTGGCAGATCCTAGCCCTGACCTTGTCATCACAGCATCATCAACAGAACATCAACATCAACAATAGATTGTGTCCCCAATGAATCATGTGTGGGAGAAGAGGGAAAGCATTACTTTGAAACTGGGAGAGTGAAAGAAGAAATTAAGCTTCCTCTGCAGTGGGCTGAGAATGAAATGAAGGCAACTTCATGAGAACACGTCCATTAAAAATGGTTAGTGGCACATGTTAGCAGGACAAGTGGATGAGACTTTAATCAAAAGGGGAGCTTCCTGGTAGAAACTTATGTATATTTATTCAGAAATAAATTTCCCTGTGTGTGTGTACTTAAAAAAGCACTATTATAGACATGCCAGGTTAAAATGTACATTGAAAAAACAATGGAATATGAGGGTGTTCTAATCACTTTTATACTGATTCTTTCCAAAATAGAAACAAATACCTGTTGCGAAAGGACTTCTGCTTGTAGTAAAACATTAATGGAAGGTAGGCTACTGTCTTCATAGCTAGATCGCCGAGTACTGATTCGATCACGCTCATTTTGTACAGCTGAAATAAAAACCCAACATTAAAGATATCTAACCCATTTACATTATCAGTAGAAATGTGAACAACATTTTGCTCTTGCTTTTCATAATATATTCTACATTTGAGAGACACAAGTTTGAATCCAAGCAGTGTCTCTCCCATGGGAAAAAATTAAATGTATAAGTATGGGGAAAGAGACAATTTTCTTTTCCTTTGTGCACCCCGATATTTCCACCTGAAGGTTGGAAGTCCTATCAGAGCAAACATGGGGAATTGAGGGATGGAAGGGAAATAACAAAAGTTGGCTTAATGGAAATGTTATTCAAAGTTGGATTTCACCCAATAAAAAAGCAATGAACATACATTGCTGCTGCTGCTGACCTGAACTATCAGTAAGATTTTAGCTGGGCAATTAAATGAAACATGGTAATATCTAATTAAATATATGTATGGAATGTTCTCTATGCCAGTGTTTCTCAACCTTAGCAACTTTAAGATGTGTGGACTTCAACTCCCAGGATTCCCCA